TGATGAAATGATGACTATACTTAGTCTACAAGAGTAGATAAATTGATAGATTGACTAATTTTATAAGAATTTAACTTAATTAATAAATTTAATAAAAAAATATATTAAAAATAAAATCTATTTAAGAAAAATCAATTATAGATCTAATCTTTTTATTTAAAAAACTATGTAAAAAAGAGTATAAAATTGATTTATTAATTTATAAAATTAAAAGCTTTTGTAATATAGCTAAAAGTCTTGTTAGACTCAAAGTAAAATTTTAAAATTTATATTTAAAAAAGAATTACTCAGATAGAGAGAACTTTAAATGATATTTTTAGACTTCTTAATATAGAAAAAAATATATCTTTTCAAGTTATGAGATAATTATATATATCTTATATAACTTTTGTATCAGATTATACAGTAGCTATTTAATAAAAAAAAAAGTAAAAAAAACTTAATAAATTAATTTCAACTATTATAGAAGAAAGTTATAAGAAGATTTTTTATAAACTTTTAAAATATCTTTAATTAAAGCTATAAAAATAAAAACATCAATTTTAATTAAAGCTATGAAAATAAAAATATCAATTCTATTATTAGCTAATAGATTTGATAAAACTTATATAAATTATACTTTAAAAGTTATAAAAATAAATATAAATTATTTAATTTAAATAAAAGTATATACTTTATATTATTCAAGTATATTTAAAAAAAACTTAAGTAAAAAAATATTTTTAGATAAAAATAAATACTCTAGTAATTTAAAAAAGATATTATCTTTTTAACTATATTGAATATATATTATAATTAACAATTTATTATCATGTTTAAATATTAAAAATATATATCATAGTAAGCTCTATTCTTTAGAAGAAAATATAGAATTATTAATTTTAAAGAGATATTACTATTAATAAATGGTCAAAAGAAGAGAAAAAAAATTATAAATACTTAAAATATTCTAGAGATAAATAAAAATAACTTATTATTAATATATTTAATTGATTTAAAAAGTGAACAAAAATAATTGAAATCTGATATAGCAGTAAAATATTCTAAATCTGATTCAGAATATAAGATACTTTTATAAAATATAGAAAAAAAATATGAAGTTTTTAATATTGAATTATTTTTCATTAAAAAGACTTTTATAATAACTTATAAAATAATTATTCAGAAAGTAAATATTAATAATATTTAAATATTTTTAGATTATTAAACAATATTAAAAAAACTTCAAAAATATAAATTCAAAGTAATTAAATAAATTTTAAATTAATTTAAAAAATAATAGAAAAAATTAAGATTAAAAATAAAAATATTAAAATTTATTTATCTTGAATATATGATGATATAGAATAAACTTTGTTTAGAAATCACTCAACTTCATAAATTTATCAGCTAGACAGATTTTATTCATCAGATAGAACAGACTGCAGTTATCAAATTTATAAACTTCATTTATCAAATAGCATAAACTTCATTTAAGTATTAATATAATAACTATTTTATAATTATCTTACAAAAATTATATAATAATAATATAGTAATCATATTAAAAAAAGAAATAATATAATAAGAATAATATAATAAAAAATAGATAAAATATTAAAAACTATATAAACTGAGTCTTTATCAGATTTATTTTTTAGAAATTATCTTAGTATATATGATAGTGTAAAACAGAATCAAGATTTAAAGTTGAAGAATTAAGATAAAATTTATAATATTCTTAAAGTGATAGAAATTATTAAGTAATCAATTATATTATCTCATAGAAACTGTATAGCAACAGTATAGCAATTACACTAAAGAAAAAAACAAGACACTAAAAAAATAAAAATAAAATACTAAAAAAGAGAGATAAGATACTAAAAGATGAAAAATCAGATCTTATCTAAGTTTATCTTTTAAAAATTATCTTAGTATTTTTGTTGATATAACTTATCTAGTTGACAACTAATTATTTGTTTATCTATATCTAGATTAAAACTGTTATATAATCACTATGTTTATCTTGATTACTTCACTCATTTCAATCACTTTGCTTATTTCAATTATTTTACTTATTTTAATTACTCTGCTTGCTTTAATTACTTTACTATAATTGCTTAGCTTTATTTCAATTACTCTGCTTACTTCAATCACTCTGTTATAATCACTTAATGTTAGTACGGCAGCCTATAGTGACAAATGTGTCAAATGAATTTTTTTGTATTTTTCCACTGTAATTACTTAATTCCACTTATAGACACCCACCAATAGAAATTTATATGAAGATTTGTCTGCAGCAGATATATCATTTCATTTTAACTAAAAGAAAATCAAAAACAAAAAACATTTAAAAACAAGATCTATGGATATCAAAAAGTCAAAAGAAATAACAAAATTAAAACCAGATTCACAAGTACTTTTAGAACTTCATATGCACTTTCAAAACTGGGGTATGTAATATCTTTGTTGATCTAATATTATGTATACTAATACTTGATAGATATTAATGAGTATCTACCACTGTAGACAAAGAATTAGTGTCAGAATCAGATTTCAAAGTTGAGATTTTCTTCTGGAAGAGTCACTGCTGCAGCTGTCAATAAACAGAGTGAACATTTACATAAGATAATATATCTTCAGCTGCGAAAACTTGTACATGATCATATAAGATCTCAACAAGTTTCTATGTTATAGAAATCTGAAAAACAAACTGGGGCTTGGAACTGGCTGACAGAGCGATTGCAGAAGCATGAAATAAATTTTGATAATGTGATGAAAATGAACATCTATGATGAGAATAGTGGAGATGTTAAGCCAGATGTATTATAGATGTATTCTACTACTAGTAATATTCTCAAGAATATACTTTTTTATGTTTGTTACTATAACAATTATTCTATAAATTCTATATTGTAGTGCTTCATGAAGATTGAACTAGATATATATATATAATGTATGTACACTGCATATACAAAATATATATATCTATTTATATACTCAAATACTTTGTAACTTGAAAATTATAATCATTCATAGTTATGTATTCATATCTAAAGTTATTAACAGTATTAAAATATATATTAATTAATAATTCTCTTTCTTAATTGATACTGAAATACTTCATTGCATGTACATCAAAATAGAGAGATTTTATGTAATATTACTCATCACATCCATCACTCTCAAAGTAGTTAGTTATTATACTAATCAATATACTAATCAAGTTACTGAAATCCACACTCACACATACACTCAAATTTTCTTATTCTTCTTTTTATTGTTGATTATCAACTTTATTTACTTCACTATGTGGATATCATTCTGCCCCAATCGTTCTGAATTTTCCCATGAAACACACTGTAGTGGTGAAGCTGTCTGTTCATATTGTGGTCAAGTCAATCCATTTACAACAAAATCCTCCATCATCTCTTCAACAAATGATGAAATCATTATCATTGAAGATAGTTCCAGTCCTTCAGCTCTGACACCATCACTCTCCATCTCAATTCTTGATCCTGGACCTCCTCAGTGAGCATGTCAACTGGCAATTCAAAAAACACAAAAAGTTCAACAAATGACTCCCAATGCCAGTACATCAATTCAATGTACATCATCTATAAAAGAATCTGCCATCAAATTCTAGTTGAATCAACTGTCCTCATTGCGAATATCCTATAAAATTCTTATTCATATTTGGAAGTGTGAATACAATGATGTCAAACTACAAACACACTATAACTGGGAGTCAATTCAAAAAATCCAAAATGAAATCTATTCAGAGTGTATGTTTTTCACAATGAAAGATTTTCTGGAAATCATCACTGCCAGACTTGATACAGCTTGGAAGAATACTCTTATTGTTGTTTCTCCAGTTGATGCATTTATTTCTGCTTCAGTTACTAGAAAGAATGGTGCAGTGATGCTCACTCCTGATGTTTAAATGTTGAATTTAGAGAAGTTATTGAGTTCATTTAAAAAAGTGCACTCATCATCTTCAACAACCACAATTATTCACATCTGTCTTGTCACCTATGATGAGTCCAATCATCTCATTAAACAACCATCGGAATCGAAGAATGTCAAAGTTAAATCCCCAGATATTGAGATCAAGAATGAGAATATCTCCACCTCAGTGATCAAATATGAATGTGCTCTCTGTGTTGATTTACCCATTCTGAATCTTATGAAATAAAGACAACTGTTACCAATCCCTTTCAAATCTGAAGACAAAGTTGATGAGTTGAAGACAATCAAGCTTGAGAAGGATCTATTGTTCAAGTGGGAGAAGACAGAATCAGAAACAGAGGAGGAAAATGTAAAGATGATGGAAAACACTGTGATGGAGATGGAGAAGAGTCATTCTAGTGAACTTGAAACACAATCAACATATCTTGACTCATCAATAAATGGGACAAGATTTCAGCATCAGCGTTGAGAGTGATTAGTAGAATAATTAATAGATTCATTGAGAGTGATTAGTAGAATGATTGATAGATTCTAGTGTGATGAAGATTCTGAAGTGAAACAATTTTTCTCTATACAATTTCTTTTGAAGCAGTGTGATATTCTATGTGATCTTATATCTTTGATTCTACTACTCATTCTTTCTGCTAGTTGATTCTTCCTACATGTTTTTTCTTATGCTATTCAAATTAGATGGACAGATATAATACATATTGATCTTATTGCTCTTTACTGTGTGATATCTAGATATAATCAACAAGCTCTATTTAAATACAAATTGAATGAATATGATTGGTGCGTGCTCATCATAACACTAGTATAAAAAACATCAAAAAAATTCATTTTACACATTTGTCACTATAGGCTGCCATATCACATGACCACGCGACCATGGTTATAATCCAGGCAGGTCTCAGCACTCTCTTTCATTTCATCAAGTTTAGTATTTTGTTATATAGCAGTTAGCAATACAGAAAGTTTTCTTTTTATGTAGCTCACAAGATCATCAGCAAGAAGTAACAGAAGTGCTGAGACAGATCAGAAGAGAAGACAGCTCACATCTTGTTCAGAATTCTCTGTATATGAAGATGTATTATATATGTTGACTGTCTGAAGCTGTAGATCTGAGATCTGTATGTGCAGCATGTGAATGTTTCAGTTTTCTGCCCAGAGGTCTGAGACTGCATGAGCATGAATTTGTGAGTATTTACACACATAGATGAGAATCTGTGACTTTCTGTCTCACTTTTCAATTGAGGCAAAGTAGTTGAATGCTGAATGCTTTATAGAGATGCATTGACTTAAGTTTCTGTGAATTCAGAGTTTCTATATAAGAAAAATATCAGTCTTTCTTTCAAATGCTAGATTGAGAGCTGTCTCATGTGTCTGAACTCTGTTTTTCTATATTGACTTACATAATCTGCAGGAATTATGAAGATCTAGAGTTCTTCTTCATTGAGTAGTTGAAAGAAGAGTGTTGTTGTATGAGATGATGTGTTGAGTGTTGCATTAGATGTTGAGTTAGACATCATGTCTAATTCTGTATCTGATGCTGTGCTCAATGCTGTGTTTGATGCTGTGTTTGATGTCAGCATGAGATTAGATCTACACTCAGTAGAATCATTCAACCTCAGATCTGCTGATGAATCTTAATCACTGCATTTGCTATTACTTGTATTGATCAAGTATATCTTACTCTGTGCATTGTAAATATCTCTCAGCTGATTTCTTAAGTGTCTTTGAATAGTTTCATTCTTTATCTCTAATCTGACAGAGCAGGATGAATCATCTTCAGCATGTGATTCAAGACAGTTAGTTCAGTGATTGAGACATTTACATGCTTCATTCTTCTTATAACAGAATGAATTTTCTTTCATGTTATTCTTAGAATTGCATTTTTTGCAGTGAGAGACACAGAGACAATATTTCTTTTGATGAAATTCTCAGCATTTGCTGCATTGTTGTATTTTAATCTTAGATGCTTTTCTGATCACTAATCTTTAATATTCATATAGTTCTACTTTTGATGATAGATTTACTGCTGTCTTTTGCAAAAAGTGTAATATAAGAGTGACTGTTGAGTTTTCAAAGTGTATTTTTATTCAGTGACTCTGAACAGACTTAATTATGATTTGAAGTGTGAATTCTTCTGTCATGAATTCTGCTGAGAAACACAGAGTTTCATCATCATAGTCATTAATCTTCATGAGCAGTTTAGAAATCAGATAGATGATTCAATTTTCTTTCTTCTCTATCTGAGCATTGATGAGAGTGATTGCTAAAACATTTTTTTTGACTAGTAGAATCTTCATATCTTGCAAGCTTCTAGAAATGATGACAATGTCTGTGAGAATGACTTAAACTGCTGTGATGACTGCTGTCAAAGACTCTGAGAGTTCAGTCTTCAGCTTTCTAAAAGTAGTAATTGAGCTTGCTTTGCAAGCTAGATGATCTGAAGACAGATATGTAAAAATTCATGATATTTTTTCTTCTTTAAGATTATTTTTAAGCAGAGATTTCTGCAGTATAATTGCTGATATTTTTGTTACATTGATGCTGTCTGCAGCTGTCTTTGCATAGATAGAAGCTCTTGCATTACTTGCATCAGTGAAGTCAGCAGACTTGATTGTGATGAACTGCTTAGCTGTTTCTAAACTTTTATTATATCAGTTCTTGACTAGTATCTTCATAGCAGCTTCAAGAATCAGTGCTTTTGATAAATCTTTTGTCTTCATGACATCTAAGTCTTCTTCAATCTGATCAAGCATATTTGCAGCAGCTAGTGCTTCCACATCAGATTTCTATGCCTCAGTCTTGTGAGCAGCTAGGAGATTGCTAGCCATTAGACCATGTAGATTGAGATATATTGATGCAACATTTCTGCTCTTTGAGCTATCTGATAGTGTAGAGAAGCTTGAAGGCTCCATGTCATTCAGTTCACATGTGCAGTGAGTGATTAAGATGAGGAGATAAGATCTCTTGAGTGGATAGTGTATGAGAGAGCAGATGTACATCAAAACTCAGAACATGTTCAGTGTTGTTGAGAGGCTGAGTGTGCTGATGATGCTGCATCAGCATGCCATCAGACTTGCTGCCTGATGGGATGGGAGAGAGCTTATAGAGATGTGATCAGAATTGATTAAGATGTTTTTGATAACTGTTATTATTGACTATATTCTGTATGTATTTTTTTTTTTTTTTAGTTCTACATAGATTAATTTATTTTTTATCAAATAACTAGTTGAATAATAATCTTTTATTGAGATTTAAAAAATAAATTCAATTCAATGCTCAGTTCTCAATCACTCTGTCAGAGTATTTAATTCTTATAAGAAATGATTATCAGCATATAATAATATAGAATACATTCTATAGCATATTTAAAACAGATACATATTAATGTTTATTATAAATGCTCTTAAATGTGAAAAACAAGTGAAGCTTGCTTGTTGTTTTATGAAAATAATTAAATATTCATCAGAAGATACTCTAATCACTTAAATTTAAACAAAAAAAGATATTATTAGATAAAAACTTTCTGAGAATATTTAAACTCAAAAAACTTCAGTATATTTGATTTCTATATTGAATAATAAAGATTAAAAGCAATTAATACTATTTATATCTCTTAGTAAGCTGCAGAGAAATAAAAAAACAAAGAGCAACTGTTTAACATTCATGTAATCTTAGACAGAAAGTAATAATTTCAATCATAAAGCTTTTTTCACAACACATCTGCTGGGAAAAGTAAGAATACCTCTGTTTTATTCGTTGTGTTAAACATGTTGAGGATATAAATGAATAAAGTAAAATGATCATTAGAACATAATACCTGTGTTTACAGAGGTATACATGAATATCAACAGCAGTTTTACTAGCATAGTGATGCAGCGGAGGTGGGATATAGAACACAGTAAATAGAAATAGTAAAGGAACATAACACAAGCCGTTGCGAAGAGGTAGAGATGGGTAATGGGAATAATCAAGGGGGATAAAGGAAACTGGGAAGGCCGAGTTGGTTATTAAAGAGGGATAGGAAGAGGTGTAGTACGGAAGCAGGTGGGGGGAGGATAATACAACTAAGATATACAGCACAGAGGGTATTGAAGAAATGAAGTAAGCAAAGGAAACATACAAGAAGTTTTAAGAGGGGGGGGAAGGGATATAATGGAAGAAAAAGAGTTCAAGTTGATTGGCACAAACGAGACAAGGGTATTGAAAAATGATACAGCATAAACTTCAACCATAGACGTTGGTGGTGTTGGTAATTCTCACTGCTCTCGACGATTCTCCTGGCGTGGGCCTGGAGGGGCCGCACTAGAAACGGCGGATGAAGTAGCGAAAGGTATAGCGGAAGTGGACGTGAAAACAGTAAGTTGTGTATTAGTAGTTTGCTGCTGTTGCTGTTGCTGTTGTGTAGCAGACTTATAGCCCATCGAGGTAGGCGGTGACTTGATGGTGGTTTGAGGTTGCTGCGAGTTTCCGAGGGATCGAGATCGAGGAGTGAGAGGTTGGGAAATATGAGGTGTGAAGATCCCATCAGGTGACAAGCGCTTCGAAGGCTTCTGTTGGGTCTGCTGCATTCCTGGTTCTGATGGCCATACAGATATAGCTGCCCCATTATTCAACTTGGCGGAGAATGGTGTAGTCGTTAAATCTGGGGTATGGATCATTTCAATGTCAGGGTTTGCAAGTGCCGCAGGGGGACCCGCTTCCTGCTTAACATGACCCGAAGCAGCAGATAGTACAACAGGAGGGGCAGGAGCCTCGCCCAACGAGGTGCCAGGGCGTAGTGTCTTCGCGCTGGATTTCGTGCTTCTTGATCTAGACGTTTTGGGTGCTTGAGTCTTTCTAGTCTTTCTGGAGGTGAATTTGTTTGCGCTAACTTTCAGTCGCTCCTCTTCTCTGGCTACATGCTCTTCTGGGCTGGGAACTTTAAGCTTAATGCTTAATTTCTTAATACCGGCGGAAAGTTTAGTTAGTTCATGCTCTGCTGTATCCGTATTGATAGAAGATGAATCGAAGGGTGGAATTGGACTTCCACCGATCGTTCGTGCTTGTGGGGGTGGTGCCGCTTTTCTTGGACTAGACCGGACACCCGTAACTCGGGATTTAACTGTTACCAATTCCGCAGGCTTCCTGTTTGAAGTTCCTGGGAGTGAATTTAGCGTGCGGTTACTATCCCCATTTGAAGATGGTGAAGTTCCTTCCACTCTGCCCTTACTAGGGTTTCCACCGATAGTGGATGCCACGGTCGAGGTTACACTTAGTCGTCGTGAATTCCGAGAATAAACATGGTTCAAATTTTGGTTGCTACTTGCAGAAGATGTGACGGTAGATGATTCGGGTAGGTCACTGACTGATGCAATGGTGGTTCGTCGCAAAGCTTGAGAAGACCGTTTGGTAATTTGTAGCTCCGGCGAGGGTGACTTTAGTTTTCTCTCCCTCAACTGCATAGATCTCCTGTCATCTACAGGCTGTAATTCTGAAAAATTCGAAGTTGAGTGCCGGTCCCGTCGTGTACGAGCACCTTCAGCCTTCAGCTCCGAGTGGTGGAAGCTCACTGTCTGGCGGTCTGTAGGAATGAGGGTTTTCGACATCTCATACGCCGCCGTTGCCCAGTCAATGACCGGGAGGGGTGGGCGCATGTAACCACCGTCACCAGCACTTAGCTGAGATGAAATTGATCTGCGGTCTCGCGAGGGGATGACGATTTTGGCCGCTGACGCCTGCGTGGGAGAACAATATGTAGGAGGTCCTTTTTCAAGAGATTTGTGAGTTGGGGCTGGAGGTGGTGGTGGTGGGTTTGCAAGACGTTCTATTTCTTCTAGCAGAGGAAGTTTCCACCATTGAGTATCAAATGAAGAAACTTCCTCCGGAACCGCCTTGGGAACATCATCCAAACCAAGGCGACCAAACATCTCAGTAGCAAGGCGGTTGTCTCCATTTTCATAAATGCTGGTCTGGCTATCCGCAAGCCCTGAGAGATGGCTGAGCACACCACTGATTAGAGCTCTGTCAGAGTATCCCCCTTCCAGAACACTAATAACCCTCCCATCAACACCTAAACCTTCCTCTTCAGACATCCGTACAATATCTGAAGTAAACTTGGCATAAAAGTCCGTGGGTACGTTGACCTTGTGTCGTTGCATACCAACTCCTTCCCACTCACTAGCATCGAAACCTGCTGATATGAATATTGCTGCCTTGGGTGGTGCCTGATTTTGTGAATTTAACAAACGTAGGGTATGGGATCTAAGAAACTTTCGAGCCTTTTCAAGAAGAATTGTATATTTTTCATTATACAGCTCCCAAAAGCTAGCCGAACTTTTCCAGGGTTCTAGATGGACGTTCCAGATAGACTGTCCATGGGCGTTGTCGATACAGAGGCTAGCATTACGAACTTTGTCCAGGTCGCCGCTTTCACAAGGATACGAGTTAATGTCATGCAGACTGTAATAGCCGATGGTCATCTTCTTGTGCAGAGGAGCGTTTTTCGAAGCGGTTTTTGCCTTCCGGTTCTGCTCCCAAGTAATCTCCTGCGATCCGTCTCCGTGGTGTAAATCAAAATCAATGATTGCAGCATGAGTGAGACCATGAGACATTGCAGCATGAGTAATACCAACATGAACATTATTAAGCCAGCAAAACCCGGATGGATAGTCTGCTGAACAATGGTGGCCGGGAGGTCGAATGCTCACGAAAGCGCGAGTGGTCGACGTCGGCCCAAACACGACATCTACCGCTTCGCAGACTCCTCCCAACGCACCTTCAAAGGCATTCAGGGACTCTGAACACAAATACAGGTCGCCCTCGTGGAGTTTTGGGAGGCTTGTTGAGCTATGATTGTCCTTCCCTGAACTGCTGGGGCGAACCAACTCCTTTCCATTCAATGCAAGACGAGATTCGGCGGCATCACACATAACTCGTAGTTCGTCCATCCATTTTATTCCATGGACATGTGTAACCGCAGGGGAATTAATTGGCATAGTGCGCGTCGTCTTCCGGACTTGAAAGGGTGGGATGGGAAGTGACCGAAGATCAAGGTCCGGATGTGGTGCAAACTGGCCGTCATCATACCTCCTTCCCATACGAATATATGCGGTTGATACACCCAGAACACTAGCAAGTAAGCGCTCTGGGCGTTCGACAATTTGTTCCAAGCCGGCCTTGGAGGTTCTTGGGCGCGAAAACCTGTGTCCGTAGCAGGCATCTTGTACAATGACGAGAGTTTTGGAGTGCAGGTCCGCGGATTGATGCAAAGCCAACTCCTTCTTGAAATGGCTATTGGCGATGGAGGAGGCGGTTGGCACCAAAGGCTGGATCGGGGAATCAGGGCACACTATGGGGGACTTGGGGCGCATGCTAGAAGATGTGGTAGAAAGGAAGTTTGAAGAGGCACGTCGCGATAGGCTGGGTCGCTGGGGGGTAACACCGTTTCCACTATAGTTTTGAACAGATCGTAGTGAGCTGACCGATGATCGTTTCTGAAGAGACGAGGTAGAACCTCTTCTTTCCTCTCTCAACGAACTGGTACTGGGGGTCCTTCGAGGAACGTACGGGTGGTTGGCTAGAGCTCTCGACGGCGAGTTATGACGTGAGAAGGGAATGTTCCTGTCAATGAAACGAGAAGGTGACTGGTACGGCGAAGGGGAAGGCGTCGAGGATGGACTGACTATAACAGAACCTGTTGCAATTGAGAGGCGAGTAAAGGAGCTTGCCAGTTTGTCTGCGTGTTTGGTTGACAGCCTCCCTTGGAGCCCGGCCGCAGGCGACGGGCTGCTAGGATGCTCTCGATGAGACCGGTCCATGGCGGAAGTAAATGTCTACCTAGGTAGGACAGCACAGCGGTAGTTCCCGATCGTCACAGTGGGCTCCTCGAAGCGAGTTGCGCATGTTGTGGATGCGAGCAACGAGCGGTTAGGGCGCTCGCGTGTTGTTTGGCAGTTTGAGCGTTTAGTCAGCAAACTAACGTAATCCATCACCTAGTCGATCAGATCACCTAGTCAATCAGTTTATCCAACGCGTACATGTCTAACATCAAAACTGCAGAGGACGACAACCAACTGTTATACAAAAACATCTTAATCAATCCTGATCACATCCCTATAAGCTCTCTCCCATCCCCTCAGGCAGCAAGCCTGATGGCATGCTGACACAGCACTGCCAGCGCGCCCAGCCCCTCAACAACACTAAATGCATTCTGAGCCTTGATGTGCATCTGCTCTCCCATACACTGTCCACCCAAGAGACCCCATCTCCTCACCTCAATCACCCACTGCACATGTGAACTGAATGACATGGAGCCTCCAAGCTCCCCTACATCAGCAGACAGCTCAAAGAGCAGAAATGTTGTATCAATACATCTCAATCTATGTGATCTGATGGCTAGCAATCTCCTAGCTGCTCATGAGACTGAGGCACAGAAATCTCATGCAGAAGCACTAGCTGCTGCAAATATGCTTAATCAGATTGAAGAAGACTTAAATATCATGAAGACAAAAAATCTATCAAGAGCACTGATTCTTGAAGCTGCTGTGAAGATACTAGTCAAGAACTGATACAATGAAAGTCTAGAAACAGCTAAGCAGTTCATCACAATCAAGTCTGCTGACTTCACTGATACAAGTAATGCAAAAGCTTTTATCTATGCAAAAACAGCTGCAGACAGCATCAATGTAACAAAAATATCAGCAATCATACTGCAGAAATCTCTGCTTAAAAATAATTTTAAAGAAGAAAAAATATCATGAATTTTTACATATTTATCTTCAGATCATCTAGCTTGCAAAGCAAGCTCAATTACTACTCTTAGAAAGCTGAAGACTGAACTCTCAGAGTCTTTGACAGCAGTCATCACAGCAGTTTAAGTCATTCTCACAGACATTGTCATCATTTCTAGAAGCTTGCAAGACATGAAGATTCTACTAGTCAAAAAAAATGTTTTAGCAATCACTCTCATCAATGCTCAGATAGAGAAGAAAGAACATTGAATCATCTATCTGATTTCTAAACTGCTCATGAAGATTAATGACTATGATGATGAAACTCTGTGTTTCTCAGCAGAATTCATGACAGAAGAATTCACACTTCAAATCATAATTAAGTCTGTTCAGAGTCACTGAATAAAAATACACTTTGAAAACTCAACAGTCACTCTTATATTACACTTTTTGCAAAAGACAGCAGTAAATCTATCATCAAAAGTAGAACTATATGAATATTAAAGATTAGTGATCAGAAAAGCATCTAAGATTAAAATACAACAATGCAGCAAATGCTGAGAATTTCATCAAAAGAAATATTGTCTCTGTGTCTCTCACTGCAAAAAATGCAATTCTAAGAATAACATGAAAGAAAATTCATTCTGTTATAAGAAGAATGAAGCATGTAAATGTCTCAATCACTGAACTAACTGTCTTGAATCACATGCTGAAGATGATTCATCCTGCTCTGTCAGATTAGAGATAAAGAATGAAACTATTCAAAGACACTTAAGAAATCAGCTGAGAGATATTTACAATGCACAGAGTAAGATATACTTGATCAATACAAGTAATAGCAAATGCAGTGATTAAGATTCATCAGCAGATCTGAGGTTGAATGATTCTACTGAGTGTAGATCTAATCTCATGCTGACATCAAACACAGCATCAAACACAGCATTGAGCACAGCATCAGATACAGAATTAGACATGATGTCTAACTCAACATCTAATGCAACACTCAACACATCATCTCATACAACAACACTCTTCTTTCAACTACTCAATGAAGAAGAACTCTAGATCTTCATAATTCCTGCAGATTATGTAAGTCAATATAGAAAAACAGAGTTCAGACACATGAGACAGCTCTCAATCTAGCATTTGAAAGAAAGACTGATATTTTTCTTATATAGAAACTCTGAATTCACAGAAACTTAAGTCAATGCATCTCTATAAAGCATTCAGCATTCAACTACTTTGCCTCAATTGAAAAGTGAGACAGAAAGTCACAGATTCTCATCTATGTGTGTAAATACTCACAAATTCATGCTCATGCAGTCTCAGACCTCTGGGCAGAAAACTGAAACATTCACATGCTGCACATACAGATCTCAGATCTACAGCTTCAGACAGTCAACATATATAATGCATCTTCATATGCAGAGAATTCTGAACAAGATGTGAGCTGTCTTCTCTTCTGATCTGTTTCAGCACTTCTGTTGCTTCTTGCTGATGATCTCAATATCAAGCACTCTATGTGACAATCAGAAGTGTCTTCAAACATGTGAGTGGAATTATTTCTGCAATGGACTATGAATTTCAACTTTACTCTCACCATGGACTCAGACAGCCTCACATGTGGGCATAACATGATAGATCTGGTCTGGGTCACTCTGGAATTAGTTATCAAAGAAGTGAACACACAGATGGACAGATTTCTTTACATCTTCTTTGATCATCAGACTCTTCTCATCAAAATCAGTCTTTCACAAAGTGCAAGACTCAACAGATCATCTTATTTTTTCTGTCTTGACATCATGAATGAGAAGGTCTTTAATCAGATTCTGAAGGTCTATAAGTCAAAACTAGATAAACTATATGATATCTCAGAGTATCTCAATATAGATCAGCTGGATGCTCTGACTAAAGATATCACAGATGCACTAATAGCTTCTATGAAAAGTTTCATCAAGAGAAGCACTGGGCAAGACACAGATTAGTCATAGTGAAATGAGAACTACCAGAAAGCAGTGACAACACTACATCAGACATAGTGTCTAGACTATAGTTTTTTTACAAGAAGCAAAAAGCAATGTAGTCAGAATCATTAGAAAAGTTAAGAGAGAATACTGACAAGACAAAATAGCAGAGGCCTCAGTGAGAAAAGATATCTTTAAGATGATCAAATAAGTTCATTCAACTGACTTCTTTCATTCCCCCTCTCTTGTAGATGAAGAGACTGGGCTAATGTAAACAATCTCTAGAGAGAAAAAAGATCTTCTGCAACAGATGCTCTTACAGAAGGCTGCAAGCAGAGAGAATATTTCAGTTAGCTGATCCAACTCATTATCTATCAAATTATCATTTTCTGTTGCCTCAGCACATGAGATACAAAGTTCTCTGCTGAACATGAGTAATATCACTTCAGAAACTGATGGAGTGTCAACAGAGATGCTACAAAAGACATGATTACATATTAAGATATCAGTGAAAAGACTGATCAGAGTCTGTCTTAGAGTTGACTAGCATCCAACTTTCTTTCAAGATGCCACACTGGTTGTGCTGTCTAAGATCAGCAGAGATTCAACACTTCTGTGATTCTACAGACTTATAGCCCTTCTCTCAACATTGAGGAAAAGACTGAAATGCCTGGTAGTCTGTAGACTGATCTGAACAACTATATAAGAGAAGATTGTTCACTCTCAGCATTTTGAAGCCCTCTCAAGGCAGACTGCCTCAGATCTAGTGGCAGTGATGATTCATGATATAGAGGAAGTCTAAGTCTATGAAAAAGTAGTCTCTCTTCTTACTCTGAACATCAAGAGTGCTTTTGATGCTGTACTCAGAGAAAGAATGCTGCAGAGATTGCAAGAACAAGACTGATCATCAAATTTAATTAGATGAGTAAAAAGCTTCATGACAGAATGCACAGATAGAATCAGAATAAATGAACTTCTGAAAGAGCTTTTTGATATCTCAGCAGAGTCTTCACAAGACTTGCCAGTCTCATCTATTCTATTTATGCTTTATATTCAGCCTCTCTTCTTTTTAGAAACTATACAAAGAAGATGTGTACACTCAGACTATGCAGATGACCCAGAGCTGCTTAGTGCTGGAACCACTCTTGAAGAGAATGTTGTTACTCTTCAGAAGAATTTCAAGTTGCTAAATGATTAAGTCAGCAAAGAAGAACTAATATTTGATTTTGTCAAAACCAAGATAGCATATTTTACACAGTGCAGAATTCTTTCAAACCTTTCAATTGATCTTGAAACAATATCTAACACTCACTCTATTACAGAAAATGCAGTGAAAAGCTTTATAAGATATCTAGATATCTGGCTAGATAGAGAACTGAGCTTCAAGAAACATGTAGAGACCATGAAAGCTAAGGCATGACAGATGTCTAATGATATACAGACACTAAGCAACACAGCAAGAGACATCTCAGTACAACTGCTTAAATAATTCATTCAGATCTATATGCTCTTTGTGCTCTGCTATGAAGCAGAGACCTGATGGTCTGAAGTCATATGAATGAAGAAGGGAAAGATAATCATCAATCAAATAAATTGCCTAGTCAGAAAGCTAGATCTAGCTCTTAGAAATACTTTGCAAGAGACATTGTCAGTCTACAAGACCACACTCATTTCAGCTCTATACTGTGAGTTAAAAATCATGTCAATGAAAGAGACACTAGACAACTGACATGCTGTATTTGCAGTAAGAATCAAAAAGCTTGACAAAAGGCATCTGCTAGTGAGGCACTTTAATAAAGTAGCTACCATCAAGCTCTATACCACATATCTGTCTAGAGCATCCAGTCATGCTGATGAGATAGAAGCATATGACCCTTTACTCATATTCTTTTGAATGAGATCTCTCAGAAAAGAAGATTTACAGATTGAGTATGAGACAGATCACACAAAGAAACAGACAGTACAAGACTTTAAGAGCTGGCTACAATAACACAATTCTCTGAATCTGGTAGTCTTTACTGATGATTCACAGATAGAGCATTCTCAGCACACAACTAGTGCAGGATGAACTCTATGCTGAGATAGCAAACACTATCTAATCTTTATAGAAAATCTGTTAATGAATAAAGCAGAGGTTTTTGATGCAGAGACAATGATAGCTCTGCAGAATCTAAAGAAAGTTATCATCTCTTCTTAGACAAACTTTGCCAGCAATATCTACATTTATCTAGACAATTTGAAGATAGCATGAGTTCTTGAATCTGTGTCAAACACCTCTAGTCAGCAGTTCTTTATGCAGTTTCTGAAAGTCATAAAGGCCTGGCAGAGTAGGGATAGGCTTCATTGATCATCAAGAGCAGAATGGTCATTAGATGAGTCCCAGGCTACACAGATATGACTGATAATGAAAAAGCAGATCTTGAAGTCAAAGCAGCTGCAGTGCAGACAGCAAGTGCAAGCATGATACCTCAATTCAACAGCATAGACACTCTAGCTTATATAAAGTGGCACACTATAGAACAAACCACACAGGTTTTTGAGAACTACTGGGTCAAAAATTAGCTCAAACACTATATGAAGCTGGAGATCCCACTAAAGAGAGTCTCAACAGAGGTAAAACTTTCATGCTTCACATTAGAAAAGCTCTATGCTGTCTGATCAGATCATGAAGACTTTGCAGTCTATCACAGCTATCTTAAGCATGAAGATGCAGAGTGCTACTACTGATGTGAACATAGTAAAACTCTAGAACATTTCTACTATTGCACTTTTGCAAAAAAAGCAGCAAAGTGATGCTGATCTATCTACAATCTTCATAAGACACTGACAATCTCATGTGAGGCTTTAGAATTCAATAACTGGCTAAGAGAAACA